AAAAAAATAAATTAGGTTAAATTTTAAAAAGGCGACGCCTTAAATATATGAGGCGAGCCTCAGTAAACTTGAGGCGTAAGCCTCATAAACTAAACTTATTGCGTAGGCTTTGAGGCTTAATTGGTCGAAAATGCGCTGAGGCGCGCCTTTTATTGCGCAATTTTAAACGTTGCCCAAACCCATTGCTATGTCTAGTTGCCTAGGGCATCTAATTTAGTTTTGACTTCTTTGTCTTTAAAGCGACATAATTTAACTTAATTGATGATTTTTTAGGGCATGGTAGTCAAATGGTTTTGTCGATTTCTAAGCTGAACACTTAAATGAAGCTAGATTTTAGAAGTTAATCGTGACCAAACCCATTGCTATGTCTAGTTGCCTAGGGCATCTAATTTAGTTTTGACTTCTTTGTCTTTAAAGCGACATAATTTAACTTAATTGATGATTTTTTAGGGCATGGTAGTCAAATGGTTTTGTCGATTTCTAAGCTGAACACTTAAATGAAGCTAGATTTTAGAAGTTAATCGTGATGGTACCTTAACAAGAACATCACATGCAACAAAATTTTGAGGTTAAATGTGCATGACTATAATATGAAGCAATTGCTCAATACTTTCATTCACTTTTATAGGCTACTTAGTTGGATAAATTTCAAATACATGTACTACAGAAATATAAAGTAAAAGAACTTAGCATATTTGATTTTATGGAGTTATTTGGTGGATGAAAATCAAATATAATGATACCATTTTTATTTGTTTGTTAGGGGGCCCTTTAAATGCAAAGTAAAGAATATCTCTCTACATGGTTGAATGGGGTCATGCATCGGTCGAGGCAGGATTGGTGCTGGTGGAGCCGGGGATGATGGATGGAATAGTGGTGATAGGGGCTCAGGATGGTTGGCAGGGCGTGAATTTGAAAATAGAGCTGGAGATGGGGTTATTGAAGAGGTTGGGGATGACAATGGTGGTGGCCAGGATTGTTGACAGAAGTTGTGATGACTATTGTGCTGGTTCAGTTTCATTGATGGAGGCAAGGATGATGGTGGCTTGGGAGGCGAGGTTGTGTATGGGTTGGGGACAGTGATAACACACATGTGTTCAATGATGGGTCATGAGCTTGTGGGGTTGGGCTTGACAATGCATTTGGAAGCTGATTGGTTTGGGAAAATTTTGAATGTACAGATTATGAGGCTTAATTTTTTGCACTGGGTGTTCATAAAAATGACAATTTAGAATATCTAGAAAATTAGGAAACACTCAATTCCATAAAAGATGCTACACAATGGTTTTAGATTTTGCATTATTTTCACCAAAATATATATACAAATTTAATATTAATGTATATCTTAAACAAGCTTTTAACAAGCCGAATACCAATGAAAGAATCTTTGTTTGTATTTGGTTTGTTAAGGAATCAAGCGCCAAATATTGTGTTCATGTTCATAGTTTGTTAGTTAACCAATGTGCCAAAAAAGAGCTATTTAACTAGCAGAACATGATCTGTTTGTAGTCATCGAGCTGGATGGACGCCCCTATGAAAATATGATGGAACGTCTTGAACATGAATGGCTCCTTCCATTGCTTTACAATCATTATCCATGTTCATCGGACTAGGTTGAGAACACAAGAAAACCTTGTTGGATGGAAACATGCCCCTAACCGAGCAATCTACTGATTTGTCAAGTTGATGTTTTATAATATTCTTGATTGTTTGCAGAAATTTTCTTATTGATATTTTCCACATGTTTGCATATGCATGTGTTGCATCTTTAAGAGTACCCCATGATCTTACTTGGCTTATATTTTCTAATAATGCTTTCAGTTAAATATTTTTCAAGGATGATACGTTGAACATTTTCTTTGAATGGTTATTCTCGGTGGTTCTTTTTTTTTTCTTTCCCGAGCATCTTCATGAATAAGTTTGATTTTCATCCCTATTAGAATCAAACCTTTCTAGCCCATCAGTTTCGGATCTCCATAAACTTCATTTGCCACTAATACATGATGAGCTGAACAACAGAATCAAACCGTTTTTATTTGGATTTTATGAATGAAGATAACTGCAGTCCTGCATAACACGTCCCAAGTATAATTATAGTATAATACGCCATAATTTCGTATCACCTGCTCCTGATTGCAGCTTTATAAGTTTGAAGTTTTCTACTATTTTTCATAGTTCAAATCTATGGTGGTTTAAGAATACATACTTGAATTTTGTGTTCCATCCAGGAGAAGCTCTACCAGTGGATTATAAGACAGCATGAAGGAGGTTCCAGAATTACGTTAGCTGATATTGTTGGCTATTTGCAGGTTCTACCATTTCATATTACTTCGATTTTAAACATGCTATTGTTTGGTGTCAGCATGTTCATATAATTGTTTTGGCATCAGATGATCATGAATATAAATTAATGCATCAATCTTGTAATAATTCCGTTACGTTAAAGCTCCTGGATTTTTGGCTCCTTACAGAATGAGATTGATGATGGAGGACATGATTCATCAACATCTCCGAGGCTGCACTATGCTAGTCAGCATCCCCAAGCAACTTTTACCTTAACCTCGAACGTCCAGACCCCTAGTGGCTTACTTGGTTCAGCTGTTGGGTTTGTGCCTCGGTCATCCAATCAAACTGATCAATCAAAGAACTCTGTTTTCTCAAATGCTCTCTCCAGCCCTGTTCGGCAGAGTCTCCAACGATATCACCTTGCTCAGGGTGATGACTTCTACTCAGCTGGTGGCATCATGCCTCCTGGAATAGGAGCCCGGAACAGCGATGGAAACCGGGAGGCCAACTCCCATGATTCAACCATGGACATGCATTCAGATAGTCCAGCTCATGACTCATATTGACTTATTGAGGAAGCCAAGATTGCCATTTGTGGTTTCCTTTTGTTGTCCTGCTTCTCTTTTTGAGGTGCTTGTCAGGGTGCGTTGGTTCCAGGGAAAGAGTTGTTATCAGAAGGGTTTGGAGGATTTGGTCTGCTTATTGGTTTGGTGAATTATCTGAAGAAAAATAATAAAAATGTATCTAGCAAGTCAGGAACAGGTGAAGTTTTCTTTTAACGTTTCTTGTCCGCCAACTTATTTTATTGTACATATCTTCCATTAGTTAAATCTTTGTTGCTCCCGTGAGCGAGGATTCTGCAAGTAAAATACATTGGAACTCTGGATGTTTGTCAGTTACATATTTTGACATAGTTAACAAATGTTTTTTAACCTTTGACGTGTGCACTTGCAAAATAAAACATGTAATTTGTTTATGACACAATTCCACCAAAGAAAATAGTTTTTCTTTTAGAAATCTCATACTATACTACAATCAAGTAAAATAGGCTAGTTCTATGTGAACCTGCTGTGGGCTCCGAAAATTATGCCCAGGCCTTTACCCGCTGTTTTTTATTCAGGGGAGTTTTAACTGATTAAATTCCGTGATAAATTTTTGAAAGACAGATGGATTTGTAAATAAGACACTACCCAGAGATTCTATCCTCATTTTGCGAGGATTTTATGACATGAGTTCTGGTTTCATATAGGCGCAAGCCACTATAGTTAATTATCCCTCCCAGTCACGAGAGAGAACTTTCGATTAAGGCTAGTTGCCGATCATATATGTAGAGATACGTGGTATCTGACAATAGTAGCAGCACATGTTAAGGGATTTGAAAATGTGGAAAGTTTGATATTTAAAATTAGAAATTTCACCATCTTGTACTTAAAGCGGATGGTAGGGGAATGAATGATGGATACGATCAAGATCCCATGATTGCGTCGTCCCGGGCTATCGTGGTCCCTGGTTTATTTAGTCAGAGGAGGTAGTCGACCCATCCTGACAGAAGGATTCTTGTCGGCAGCTATGGGTTGTTTTTTCCAAGGGGACCTTGTAGACCTAAGGTGAATGTTTGTCTAAGGAGATAAATTTTATTCCACATTAGCTAACAGAGCGCTGTGGCCTATAAATCATATCATATTGGTTCATATTGCAACGATTTGATGTCACTAAGGAACGTATTGACTCTTGTCATAACTGATGTTTTGTGGTGCCATTTGTCGGCAAAACTACTCGGTTTAATGGGCCTTGGGTCATAACTATTTATCTTGCAGTGTCATTTGGCGGTAAAATCGCCGGTCAGAGGACACACACTACGTTCTTACTAGCATGAGATTGTTTGAGAATAGATCTTAGTGATATTTTTGACAAGGTATTTAACTCTGTATGAGCTGAAGTTATATTCTAATTTGTCCGCCTCAATAAAATATTGTGGAGGGTGGATGAATTTTTCTTCAAGTGTTTGATAAATGACTTCAATTTTAAACATCTTTGGATTTTTGGGACTTTTGGATTTTTAGAGTTTTAGACGTTTGCTGTCATTTTGAAATATTTGAAATTAATCTCTCTAGTTGAGATCTGCATTCAACAGGACTATCATTGGGGTGAGTTTGAGGTCACTAGGAAATATTTGAATTTTGTGGAAGTTTGAAGACATTTTGAAATATTTAAAATTAACCCCTACGGTTCAGCTCTGCATTAAACATGATCATTATCTAGGTGAGTGAGGTCAAGTTTCATTGATTGGACCTTGTCGACTATGTTAGTTTTTTTTTGAGAAAATGCTACTAGCAAATTTTATTAAAAGCAAACCACAAACAATGATATTCCTCCTTCAACAAATTGAAGAATGAAGGAGGAATTTTATTGGAACTAATGTCATCCAAAAAAAAAAAGAAATCAAAGCTAAGTTAGCACAAAGATCCGCTAACTTGTTACCATTTCTTTTAGAATGAAGAAAAATAATTTGCTTGAAATGAAAAAGAAAATCTAATTTACCTGGGTCCTTGTTGATGTTTCTTGGATCCATTTTATTCGGAACCTCCTTAAAGAATTTGATAACATTTATGTTATCACCTTCAATAATTATACCTTCTGCTTCAAACACCCAATCTTGCACAAATTTTTTAATAGTGATGATGGCTTGCATCTCAAGCTGTCGACTATGTTAGTTTGCTGATAGAGGATCGAATTCGTCTTAGGCTTTGTTCATTTATTAGTGAATTCTCATTGTTATAGGTCTTGAAGACCTAATATGAATGTATTAAAATAAATATATCGGTCGTTGTGACCGTATATTTGTTTGATGGTTCGAACTCTGTCGACTTCTATTAATCTGCATAGAAGGATCATATTCGAACTTGAATTCACTTATTGACCCGCACAACATCCCTAGACGTCACATGTGTCCTTGTAACACATTCGTCGGGGCCCATACGGGTGAATGATTTGATCGATGAATTTTTCTTATAAAGGATCTTCAAGGCTTACTATGAATGTATAAAATAAATATCATGATCGATCTTGTGACCGCATATTTATTTAATGGTTCGAACCGTGTCGAGAAGGATCGGGTTCGAACTTAGATTCATCATTTAGCCCGTGCAACATCCCTAAACGTCACGTGTATATCGAAAACACGCTCGTCGGGGTTCATGCTAGTGAATGATTTTATCGATGAATTTTTCTTATAAAGGGTCTTGAAGGCCTAATATGCATATATAAAATATATCGATCTCGTGATCGGATATTTATTTAATAGCTTGAACCGTGTCGAGAAGGACCAGGTTCAAACTTAGATTCATCATTTAGCCCGCGCAACATCCCTTGATTGAAATGAAAATACGTGTTGTCCAATAACGATTGCTTGGTTTCTAACAAAGTTTTTGTGATTGCAGAACCGAGTAAGTGGTGATGGCTGTTTTGAGGGTAATGTCAAGGAACTTGCTGGCGGTAGCAGCGCTGGGTTGTCCATGGGTTGGGTGGGCTCTTGTGCTTCTTAATTTGACCCTTCAAAAATTCTGTAGGGTGATCTAAATAAGTTAATTCTTTAAATAGGCTATTTTTAATAGTCTTAGAATTGGGTAATAAACCATCTTTTAAAGGATCCATCGTGATGGTTGTCTCATACTTTACATTAAAATGAAAAAATTCTAGTGTTATTTTTAAATTAAAATCTCTTATAAAAATAACTAAGCCCTTATTAAGGGGTTGTTTGGTTGTTGATCATAACTGTCAGCCACTAATGTTACCTCCGATCATTATTGTCCACTGTTAAATGTCGCCAAATGTTGATTATGGGCTTCGAAAATTTGCACCCCTGCCTTCCCCGCTTTCAGGAGAGTTTAAAAGCTTTAGGTTTTGGGGTAAATTTTCAAAAGGCAGATTGAGTATGTAAATAAGACACTACCTAGAGATTTCATCGTCATTTTGTGAGGATTTTGTGATTGAGTTCTGGTTTCCTACAGGTGCAAGCTCCTATAGTTAATTACCCCTCCTAATAAAAAAGAGAGAACTTTCGATTAAGGCTAGTCATCAATCAGATACGTAGTGGTGTGTATTCGGGATATGGTAACAATGTCGGTTGGTATTTGGAAAATTGATATTTAAAATTAAAATTTTTATTAAATCTTACACTTAAAGCGGATGGTGGGGGGAGTGATGATGATCCTGATCAACATCCCATTATTTAGTCGTCCCAACCTAACAGAAGGATTCGTGTCGGCAACCATGGGTTGTGTCATCCAATTGTACCTTGTAGACTTGGGGTGAATATTTATCTATGGTGATAAATTTGAATCCACCTTAGCTAACGAAGGGCTTTGTGCCCTATCAATCATATTATATTGATTCATATCTCAAGAATTTAGTGCCATTGGGGAGCATACGTGATTTGGCCATGATTGTAATTTAGTGGTGTCATTTGGCGACAAATCATCCAGTTTAGAGGGCCCAGTCATAAACATTTATCTACGGTATCATTTGGCAGTAAAAATGCCGGGTAGAGAAATCGTGCCACATCCTTAATGCCATAAAACTATTTCCGAATGAATCCTAGTGATATTCTCGATCAAATATTAGCTCTATATAAGTCAAAGTGATATTTTTCATATCTCAAGGATTTAGTGCCATTGGGGAGTATACAGGCTCTGTTCATGACTGTAATTTAGTGGTGTCATTTGGCGACAAATCATCCAGTTCAAAGAGCCCCAGCCATAACCATTTATCTACGGTGTCATTTACCAACAAAAATGCTGATTAGAGAACACGAGCCACATTCTTAATGACATAAAACTGTTTGATTTTTTGAATGAATATTTGTAATATTCTTGATCAAACATTAGCTCTTTGTAAGTTGAAGTGATATTTTCAATTTTGTTCACCTTAACGAACTATTATGATGGTGGATGGATTTTGCTTCAAGTGTTTGATGGTTTAATTTTAATTTTAAATATTTAAATTTTGATGATTATTGGGTCTTGCATTTTTATGGTAATTTGGGAGCATTTTGCATATTTTTGGTCCTCTCTAGGCAAATTTTTTGTCAACACGGTAAATGTAGGAGCTTTCATTTAGTTGATTGAACCTTCTTGACTGCGTTTATTTGCCAATAGGGGATCAGGTTCTTCGTAGGCTTTATGCTTTTTTAGTGAATTTTCTTGATTATAGGTCTTGAAGGCGTAATATGAACGTATTAAAATAAATATTTCGATAGACGTCGTGACCATATATTTGTTGGATAGCGATGCAATCAAAAATTTGGGAAGGGACCCAAATTTTTTATCACAAAAAATAATGACTTCCTATATCAAAGAAATACAAAAAATACTGAAGAAATACACCAAATTCTAAAACGACATAAAATAAGAAACAAATACACTTTTATAATATTAGAGAAAGCTCTTACATTTCATGACACTTACAAACACCACTTACAAATTTGGACACACACCTAAACTTGCTTTTCTTGCTTGAGAAGAAGGATACATGTGAGGTGGTCACTTGCGGAGAGATGAAATTAGAAGCCTGAAAAGAAAGAGGAGAAGGAGAATGGAACAAGCTCGCAAGCCTTTCCACGAAGAAACCCGCGGGTTTTATCTTCCAAAAATCACATTTTCACTACTCCCGTTCCCTCTTAAAACATCTCATATTTATAGGCAAGAGAGGAGAAACCAAACAGCCCCAAAACCCCCTTCATATTCTTAATTAAATGAGGGAAATGAAAAGCCAATAGCCATTTTACTGCCTTCCCCCAAATCTGCATAGGATACAAAGCACCACAAGCCACGGAAAAGCCCACAACAACCATGGGAAAGCAGCCCAGGCGAAACTCGAAGAGGCAGCCAGAAGAACCAAGAAGGCCCGTACTGAACCGAGTCACCAAAGACACGGGA